TCAAAAACTTATTTCTGGTTCTGCCGAAAAAGGAAAAGCAAGAAGTCAAGGAAGTACTTCGAAGGCCTCCAAAAAAGCGAAGAGTACTCAGGGAACCCCAGGGCCAGCTGATGAACGAAGACCCTCAACTCCTATCGAAAAGAAAACAGAAACACCTCAGAAGCGATTGAGATCCCTGGATTTGTTTTCGAATCTTCTTTTGATATACCAGCATGGAGACAATCCAAAGAAACTTCAGGTATATTTGAAAATTTGTTATAATTTAAAATAAATACTAACATATATTTAGTCCCAACAAGAGCATTGAAAAAATTTTGGAGTCCCACGAAGATCTTCACAAAAATTGATCAATTGCTAGAGCGGCAAAAAATTAGGTTACCCGCCTGGAAAATGAAATTCATGTGAGTCAGCACTTAATTACTGAACATGATTTTATCGAGGTAAGGTTTTATTTAAAATTTCTTCGAAGGTTTTCAGAAAGTTATATTCTATTTAAATAGCGTGTGGTCAAGAGTATCGCGAAATGAGTCTTTTTTAAAAGAATATATCCGGAAGCCGAAGACTTTTGCCAAACAACCAAGGAATTTTTCAGCAAGAACATTCGGAGTTTTACAAAGGACTCACAAGAAAACGCTGGAAAACATATTATGAAAAGCATATTTACCAAGTGATAATTATTATAAATATTAATAATCAATTCTTTAGTAATTTAACAATATTTATTGCTTTGATAACTCGTGAAACAATACCAATCGCTTCGAGAGACTATGGCTTCGAAAGTCTGTGATGTAATGTTTGCAGTTTTTGGTGAAAGATGCTTGGACCCAATAAATACAAATGCAACTGCCGCCAAAATTTTGAACTGAAAAAGTCTCAGAAGACCGTGGAATGCTTTAAAAACCTTCACAACTATTCAAAAGGGGAGACACAAAGCATGATGGCCCGAATTCTCAAAAAAGTCTGGCCAAAAAGAGAAGCCTCTGATGAACAAGTGGCATTCGCCATCGCAGTATGCCAAACAGTTCTTGATCCGAATAATGAAAGTATTTCAATAAATGAAATATTAATTAAAAGCAAAATAGAAAAGAATAAGGTGAGTTTTTAAAAATCTTCGAAGTATTACAAATTATTGCTAATAATATTTTTAGAAGAGGATTAAATTAGGACTTGGATTTGAAGAAGAATATTCAAGTGGCGAAGATGAAATAATGGGAGGTCAAGTTGTTATTAATATCGAAGAATCTCCGAAGGCCCATGAAGAATCTGAGAACGATCCGGGGCAACTACTGGAAAATAGAGAATTAGGAATAAAAAGAAGAGATTCAGCAATGAGCGAAGATAAATAAAAAAAAATGTAAAAAAAATGTAAAAAAAATTATATAATAATAAAAATAATTTTATAAGTCAATTTAATGTTTTAAATTAAACATTATTTAATTATATATGTAAATATAAATTAACTATTTATTACTATTAAATAAATTGAAGATCTCTGGAGATTAATATATATTTTTTTGCTCCGGAGACTTCTAATGACAACAGAGTTTTTCCGGAGGTCTATGCCCGAAGATTTGCGGAGATCTTCGCCAAAAAAATTTCCTGATGGTGTACCAGTCTTCTTGTATGTTGTCTCTTGGCTTGTATTCTTTTTGCTATTCTGTGGGGATTTGTGACATGTTGTGGTGTACTGGTTAATGACTGAAGTGCTTTTTTGCCAGTTCTTTGATTTCTTTTGGTTCTGTGATAATGGTTGTTTCTGGATCTTTAATGACAATTGTGTTCATTTCGATTGTTTTGTGCTCTCGTAATAGTATGCTGTTAATCATCTTCTTTTTGGATTTCAAGTATTGTTCCATTCTTTTTTGGGTGGCTTCTTTGATTTGAGCATTGATGTTACTTTGTAGTTCGTGGTTGATTGTCTTTTTTATTGCTTGCCAGAGGTCCTTTACTTCTTCTAGCCATCTTGTTTTTTGGTTGGCACTTTTCTGGAAGAAGAAGTTTGTTATGGATATGTTTGTTTTTGTAGGGATTTTGTCATTTTGTTGATTTTTTTAACCATTGTATTTGACTTTCTCTTTCTTTTGATGTATATATTGGCTAGATATATAAGTTTCCCAAGGTTGTAAATTGAGCCAATGTTTCAGTTGGGGTTAAGTAGTTGTAAGTGGTTTCTTGTTTGCTTGTGTGTGAAGATCTTTTTGGGGTTGGCTTTCTTAACGTGCCTTTTTGCTGTTGTACAGATACTGTTCCAGGTGATGTTACAGAGTCTTTCTACTGACATATGGGTGGTGTTGTGTAAATCTTCTTGCCGTTCTATTTCCTTGTCCAGGTTCTCTTAAAATAGCTTCCATTGCTTTGCCTTTGTCACTTTAGTGTTGAATGCATTTGTTTTAAGAGATGTGTTGTGTGGTATTACTTGGTCATCTCCTATAGGTGTGTGTATTGTGCATGTAGCAATGTTGTGGTTGCTATTGGAAATAAACTCTGATGATATAATATGTGCCTCCAGTGTGAACCAGTTTGAATTTGGGGACAGCCAGATGTAATCAATTTATGTTGCAGCTCCATTGTTGTTTTGCCATGTATATTCTTTTTTGGATGGGTGATGAAATCTGTATGTGTCTATGTGACCCAGTTGTGTGAGTGTATGGAGAATTGAATTTGTAGGTCGTGTTTTGCAATTGGCTTTTGAGTGATGGAATTTGTCAAGCTTTGGGTTTGCCAATCCATTAAAGTCTCCCAATGTAATGGTGAGATAGTCTTTGTTATTTTTTTCCCAAATTTTTTGGTTTGTCCAGCTTAAAAATTGTTTATGATTATTGCTGAGTGATGCTGGAACATATATTCCAATAATGCTGACTTTGTTGTTGTTTTTGTAATATAGGTCTATGCAGATACCTCTTCCTGGGAACTTGTCTATACTACCTATGTGTTGTGTGATTTCTGTTTTGAGTATAATGATGATTCCTGCCCCTTTGTTATCTTCTGATGCGAAGCTTTGGTAGCCTGGAACCTTCCAATGCTTGCTGGAGTCATTTGTAATTTGTGTTTCTGTAATCACAGCTATATCCACCTTGTTATCTGTACAATATTTTTGCTATAGCGCTTTTTTTAGGGGGTTGTTAAACCCTCTTGTATTGTGTGTTACTATGTGCCATTTGTATTGCGTGCCAGTTGGTGATTGTTTACATGAATCTGTTGTATTGTTGCTGATGTCCTCTACTATTGTTAATGTTGTCGTTTGGTTTCTTGTGTCTTGTGTGGTTTGGTGTATGTTTGATTGATTTTCTTTCTGTGTTATTGTTGTATCTTCTTGTGATGTTTCTGAGTCTGACCATGAGAAGTTGTTGTTGAGTTGTTCGTCTGTAATTAAATTTAGTGTTGTGGTGTTCGAGTCATTGCTTGAACTGTTTTCTTGGGCTGAAGAGATATCACTGGTTGTATTCCCCATCTGATTTGTGTGATTGGGTTGGGATTCTAGTGAAGGTGTCCATTGTTGCTACGATTTGATTCATACTGTTTTGCATTCCATCCAGAGAGGCAAACAGTTGTGTTTGGCGATTTCTGATGTCATTCATGTTGTTTTCTTGTGTTTCTTGTGGTTGCTGTTGATTGGTTATTTCACTTTTTCTTCATTGATCTGTTCACTCTCCATGGATTCATAATATTTTTCATTGTGGTACTCAAGGTTTGTGATACGTTTATCTAGTTCTGTAATTTTTTCCTTTACCTCTCCTAGGTCTCTTTGGATTTGTCTTAGGAGATTTGCGATTTCTGTTAGGGATTGTGGGTTTTCTTCTCTTTTTTATGTTTGAGTTTTGACTGCAGTTGCATAGGATCCTGCTCTGCTTTGCCCATCTGATCTTGGTCTATTGATGTTGCGAATTGTGCCTGTTTTGGCAGGTCTAAATTTGTTGTATAGTGTTTCAAATTTGGATGCTTATTCTTGTTAATATTCCTGCCATTGTTGGTGGCGAAGCTTGATTGGACAATCTTTGGCAATGTGATTTTCTGAGTTACAGATTGCACAGAGCTTGGTTACAATCGGTGTGAAGATAAGTTCTGTTTCTCCAAGGATGTATGTTTCTTGTACTGCTTTCAAAAGATCTTCTTGTGTTGCGAAGCTTATGACTGTGAATCTTCTGGATTTGTATGCTGTTGTTGCTGCTCTAGGGATGTAACATGTTTGTCCTTTGCATTGTGTAAGAATATTCTTGAGGTCCCATGCTGATGTGTTTGGGGGTAGGTTGATTAGTTTGGCTGTAATCTTATGTCTTGCCCTTATTTGATCTAGTGATCATTCTGCATCATTGATTCTGACTAAATCTTCTCTAATTAGGATGCTCCTTTGGTTGATTAATTTGTCCTTGACTGATTTGTCTGTAAAGGTTATTGTAGTACATTGCCATAGGTTCTGGGTACTCATAGTGATTCCTTGGATTTTTCCATATTTGGAAAACACCTGTTTTACTTCAATGAGTTTTGTGTTCAAGGGGATATCCCACACAACTATGAAGTTTCCTTTGTTGATTTCTTGACGTCTGATTTCCATATGTGTTAGCTTGTGATCTTTCATATCTGGGAATGTAATTGTGGTTGCATGTTCGGCTGCCTGTTGATCTCCAAAGATGGTGATGATTTTCATTTCTTCGTTTCTTCCCTCACTGCGAACTGTGAGAAGTTCCAGGGCAAGGATAATATGTTCAATCTTTTGGTTGATGGTTTTTCCCTTGACTAGTTTGGCAGTGATACCTACTTTGTGTCTTTCTCTTCCATATCTTGTGGCTCTGTCAAATGGGAATCTGGGTCTTGGTTTGATCAAAGGCTTGATTTGTTTGTCTTTCTTGTCTACTGTGAACCATTCTCGCTCAGTGGTTTTCTCTTGGTTGGGTTCTGCTTCAAACAACATCTCCTTATTACTATCGTTTATTCTGGCATAGCCAGGTGGTCCTACTGCTTGTTGTTGCTTCTCACTCTCCAGTCTTGTTTTGTGCAGTTCTGTGGTATTTGTTGTTTTGGTTGCTTCTTGCTTGTTTATTTCTTTTTCCACTTCTTCTCCCCATGAGGTGTATCCTTCTTCTTGGGTCACTGGTATTGAGATGTCCTTGTTATAAATCTGATTTGTTGTTTCTTTAAGTGGGGTGTCTTGGTTTGCTCTGTTCAATGTGTTTTGTGCCGGTTTTTTTGTTGTTATCTATGTTGGAAGTGCTGTGGGTTTCTTGGCGTATGGTTGGGTTCTGACTGTGGTTGGTTTTCTAGTTCGCTTGTTATGTCTAGGCTGTCTTTCAATGAAAGTTGGGTTGCTGGTTAAGGCCTTTGGACCTCTGTTGCTACTTGACATCTTTTTCTTTGTCTGGATGTTTAATGTGCTTCAGATGCGTGAGAAAGAGTTTCTTGTCAATTTTTTTAAAATTAAAATATTAAAAGCATTAATTTATTTGTATTTAATTTGATAAATATTTATTAAAAAAATATAAAAATTATATATAAATATATTTAAAACATAATAAATAATATATTAAAATTTCAAATAAAATTATTATATATATTTTTATATAATAATAAATTTAAGATGTGCAATATTTTTGTCCATGTAGTGTATATAAAATATTATATATACTTTTGTTTTTGCATCATTAATCCATTCTTCTTCTCATTCATGATCTTCTATATATTATAATTTAAATCGTGGATCTAAAATTAATATAGATTTTAATTAAATAAATACAATAAATATTTATTTAATTATAAAAAAAATTAATATTTAATATATCTGTAGTAACTGTATATACTAATGCTTTCGTTTTATCATAATATTTTTTTAATTTTTCAATTCCATTTTTTTCTGTTTTTTATAATATAATAATAAATATAAATATAAATAAATCAATTAATTTAAATTAAAAAATTAAAAAAAATTACTTTATTTTTTTTTCTAAATGTTCTGCCAAATCATAAAATTTTTTCAATTTATTTAATAAAATATTATAAAAAGGTATTGAATATAAAAGTGTTGGATAAGACCTATGGGTCCATAACACAGTGGTTAATGCTCCATAGGTCTGATCACAAGATACAGATTCAAATCCTCCAGGAGGCTAATGTGATTTTCCTGATAAAAAGAAAGTAGCTGGTAGGACCTGTATCCATTGGCGTAACTGTAAACTAACTGATGTTTCTTAGTATAAATACTGGTTATATGAAAGATTGTGATTATACATGTGGTGGAATTGAATTCAGACATTTTTCAAAAACCGTATTATGGTAGAATTACTAAGTAACATATAGTAAATAATTGGAATTCGTATTTAATTCGGAATCGTATTGTCGATCAAATTTCCTTTTATGGTAATACAACCACATGTATGATTGTGATCAGGTTGAATGTCCGAAATCAGGTAGGATTATCCTTGACACAACTGCGTTATCAAAAATGGTAATAAGAAGAGTAGATCCCAAAACCGGTAGCATATCGCTGGTGGAGAAGTTTACATGACCTGATGAGGGTGAATCAGAACTGCTGGTAGGCTTCAAGTCCAATCAAGTATGTGGCTGTGTACCCTTTCACAGACTTTACTATCGGGAGGCCTTGGTGGGAGGAGAAATCCGCGGACCACTTCAAAGAACTAAAACCCAGGATTCAGGATACTGTAATCGACGGCCTGATAAGCAGACTATTCTTAAATAAAATTGTTCTGGGAAAAATTAAGACAGATTCATGCATCTTTTCAATTTAGAAAGGGCATATAGGGGGAAGCTTTAAAATCGTACCTCCTGTTATATTCCATTAAATAAAGTAGTGATTATACATAGCATTATGTAAAATAGATATATAAACTACTCATATATAGATAGATCTACTATAAACATATATATATATTGCTTATTAATTATATGTAACTTAAAAAGGTATATTGTGTAATGCAGAGTAATGACCTGCATGTTGCTCTGAAATATGCAGCACAAGCATACAATTAATAAAAGATGTGGGGAACCGATAAACAAGAGGAAGCACAGAGTATGCATAAAAAACTACTTGAAAACTGGCTTGACCAGGGGAAGAACATTATTGATTTTAATTTTTATTTTCATTTCTCATATAATAACAACACTAGCGGAGCCTTGGCACGTTAGCATGACACACACCTGTGGGGTAAGTCAATAGCAACAAGCCGATATGGAAGAAATTCGATATAGTTTAATATGCATTTAGAGTAGTTTATAGATAGTAATTCTTGTACGAGAAATACAAATGTAAACTAAATAAAGTATGTTAGGCAAGACCTGGCTAGTTGAAAGAAAAAAAAAAAATATTAGGAATAATATGTATAATAGATATAAAGTCAAAATATATATAAGCAACTTGAGAATGTGCAAAAATAAAAAACAATTAGAATAGGTATTGTGCAATAAATAATTAATAAACTGTCTTTATTAATAAACTTTGCCTTATGAAATTACTCCAGTATTATATAACTAATGAAATTGCTATATAAGAAAATAACTCTTTGGAACACAAGATCGATAAACTGATTTGTTAGCATTATAAACTCTGGCCAAATTCATATATTTCTTTTGAGCAGAAAGCCATCCAAATATTACATGACATGAGACAGATCAAAGTAACTGACTTGCTATAATTTTATTATAACAATATACTATATAGACAAAAGTATCATATATCTTAAATTTATTATTATATAAAATGTATATAATAGTTTTATTTAAAATTTAAATATATTATTGTTTAAATTTTAAAAAAACATATATATAATTTTTGTGTTTTTCAATAGTAAACATTAAATTAAATATAAATACATTTATTTTTTTAGTATTTTTAATTTAAAAAATATATCATTTAACTGAAAGTCAATATAATAAAATTATAAATCTTTATAAAGATAAATAATTCTTATCAAAAATTTCAAAACTTTTTAAAATTCATAAAACAATTGTTTCTTATATAATAAAAATTATTTTAATAGAATAATTTTGTTACTCTTTTAAAAATTAAATATTCAAAATTATTAACTTTTAAAAACAAAATTATTTTAAAAAAAAATTATTAAAAAAAACAATAAGAAATTTGTAAAATAAATTAAAAACAAATTTATTGAAAAAATCAATATTGAAGTTTTTATCAAAACAATTAGAAGAAATTTATATAAAATAAATATTTTCTCTTATATATTAATTTAAAAACTACTTTTAAAATAATTAACAAAAAAAAATTATTTAAAATTATATATTGAAAAAAAAGATTGAACTGTTCAAAAATAAAAGATTATTATATAAAGTAATAAAAATAGATTTATAAATATTCAAAAATAATAGTTCTGGTTATATTTAAAAAACTTCTAGTACAAGATATAATATTGAAAATATGATTATAATAGTAAAATTTGAAGGTAAAAGAATAATAGTATAGAATATTTTTTAAATAAAGAATTAGGTCCATTAGTAAAAGTAAGTGATAAATTAAATATATTATATTATATTAAAATACTTGAAAAGTTTTATTACTTTTAATTAATAATAATTTTAATTATAAAAAATATTTGTTTTAAAATAATAATGCTTCAATTTATATTGTTAATGATATTCAATAATTGATTTTAGAAAATAAAAATAAAAATTAATATATTATATAAAAGTATATTATTAAATATACATGTGTTATAAATTATTTTGCTGTTAATTCAATTGTCAAAATTCTTAAAAATAATCACATCTGACTTAATTATTTTATATATTTTAATAAGTAACTTAATTAATTATATCAAATAATTATATTAAATTATGTCAAGGATTTATTAATTTCTACCATATATATATTATAAAAAATAAAAACAATTATTAAAAATAATAAATATTCAACAGAATATTGATTTATTTATAGATATTTCATTATATAAAATATAACATATTAAAATTTTAAATAAAATTATTATATAAAATTTATATTATTAATAAATAAACAATATATAATACTTTTGTTCAAATAATATATATTCTTATACTTGTAATGATTCTATAATTTAATAAATAAAACAATATTAGCTTAATTGTAGATTTTTTAAAAAAATATAAAAACTATTATATTATTTATATAGTTTAATTATTTATATAGTTTAATTATTTGTTAATTATTATATTATATAAAAAAATAAATATTTATTAAGTTATAATTATATAATATTAATTATTTAAAACTTTTCAAATTTTTTTATACTAATAAATAAAATCTTTTTAAACTAATTTTAGTTTACTAAAATAAATTTTTTAATATTTTTTTATAATTAGATAAACCATTTAATTTTTATTATTTTATTATTAATTAAAAATATTTATAATATATTTATAACAAAAATTATTGATTTTTTTAAATAGTCTTAAGTTTTTGTTATTATATAATCTTATTGTTTAAATGGTTTTTAAAAATATTTAATAATAAAAGAAGTTTGTTATAAATTAATAAAATTTTTTTTTAATTTTTAAAAAAAAATCAATATATAAATAATAAATATATATATAATATATTTTTAAAAATTTCAAAAAATCAAATAATCATATTTTTTAAAGTTTTAAATTTTTTTTAACAAAATTTTTTTTTACTTTTTAACATCTTTTTTTTTAAATTTTATAAATCAATTTTATATATATATATTTATAAAAATATTAAAAGTTTATTTTAAAAAAGAAAATTAATAAATAAATAAAATTAAAAAACACTTTGAGTAATGATATTATTAAGAAAATAAAGACTTTATTAATAAAACTTTTTTGAAACATTTGTTTTTTTGAATTGACAAAAGAATTAATAAAAAGTTTTTAAAAAATCTTATTTATATTTTCAAATTTTTAATATAAATTTTTTATAATAAATATAATATATTAAAATTTGTATTTTAGTTTTTGAATTTTTAACAATCAAATTTATATTATTAAAGTAAACAAATATAAAAAATATAAAAAATATAAAAAATTAGATATAATAATAATAATAATTTAAATTTATTATATTATTAGTAATTAATTTGGAAATTAATTTTTCGCTTAAAGTAAACTTAAATTTTTTTTTTTAAAAATTAGATCATAGGCCTAAGATTTGGTAGGATAATATGTTTCGACTGATACTGATTATTCAACTTATTTAGATGCAAGATCTCCTAACGGAGATCGTAATCTAGAATCCAATAAGATATTGTCAAACCATTATACATATCGAAAGAATCGTTCAATTATTTCATTCTTTACTTTAAGAATGGGCATACCCATATTGACGGATGATACCATCTGTGAGATCCTGCAACACCTTCATTATGATACACATACCCTTTATAATTGCTTATTCGTCAACCGCTTCTGGTGTTCCAACGTCGTCTCAATACTTTGGCGTCATCCTTTCACGAATTCATATAAACCATTTACAAGCGGAAAGCATAAATTGCGACGATCGCTCATTATACGAACATATGTTTCTTGTCTAAATGATGAGGAGCTTGCACGATTAATCCCTTTCTCTATTGATTTCTCGTATACCAAGAAACCATTATTTCCTTATGAAAGATATCTTCAGGAACTTTCGGACAGTAATATTGACAAGGGAGTCAGGAATTGGATCCAAAGTCAGGGAAAAGATGTCCTACCCATTTATCAAGCCGATAAAAGAGCCATTGCGATCATAGATTCACTCTGGCACATGTTCATGAGACAATGTATTAAGATTAAGTCAGTATCTATCACACCTTTATACATCAATTCGGGACTATTGAACGCAACAAACATTTTGCATGCTAGTTCAGCTTTCGCGCACTTGAACAACTTTTATTTCAGGATCGATTGGTCGAGAAGTGAGGAAATTAAGTATAAGAGTATAGTACAGCTTTTGAAACAATTAATATCATTGAGCGACAACATTAACCATATGGAACTCTCAATTCACGAAAGAATAAATCCGAATATCATGAAATACATAGTTAAGCTCATCAATGTACAGCGTGGCATCAAGAAATTCATATTTCATGATTCACGACTTCTCAGATCTATAACAGCACCAATAACAACCTCAATTACGACACCAATGGTGGCTTTACAGTCTCAAGCGAATTGCTTGGTCTCATTAGAATTTCACGGAGTCAAGTTCGATGATGTCTCAGTCGCATCCTTAGCGGGATTTGATTTACTGGAATCATTGCTTTTTCAAAAATGTAGAGACATTACGCTGGAACGCATGGAGATTTTATCGCAAGCATCTTTTCATATAAAGTTTTTGTCAATGCAGAAAAATCTTTGGCCATCCATCATTACTTCAGTACTTATTGCCAAAGCGGGGGAATCTTTACGACAGATAGTACTTGACGATGTGTCGACTGAAACAATCCAGGCGATGACGAACTGTTGCCCGAACATTAATGTCGCGTACATTTCTCCAACAGATCTTACATATCAACTAATATTCCCTTGGGTTGGATCAACAAGCTTGAAAAAACTTGAAATCTCATTTGAAACACACGCAAGACGTGGAATACAGATACCCATCGAAGATTCTTCTAAGGTCATGCAGTTATTGGGCGAAACTCTTTCGACATCATTAGTTTTTCTTAAATTGAATGGTTTGAGGATCACCAACGAAGCATTCAACTATTTCATGGAATCATGCTGTTCACCGTTGTCAACCTTATTTATTTCCCACGGATGCTATTTAGAATTGGAATCATGTGTGTGGATTATCGTCAAGTTTGCGTTCACACATAAAACCTTGAAAACTTATGGTTCATACAGCCTTAAGAAAAGTGCACATCAAAATTTTCTCGAGATTCTGGCGAAAAACAAGATCCAGGTTTTTGACAAGTATAACATCCGAAGTCTCATATACAAAGATTTTTGAGGACTTTGTATGTTGGCAGTGTATGATATATTGTATTCCTGAATCTTTCTTAAAATCTTTCTTAAAATCTTTGATAATCAATTTTTGATTTTGAAAAGGAAAGAAAAGGACATCAGTCTAAACGAAATACTTTGGTTAATCAAGTGCCAGAGCAAAATCATTTCAATTAAATATTTATGGAATTAGAAAAAAATCTTCCATAGAAATATATATAGTACATATATATTTATTTGCAATAGAAAGCAATAACACTCTCAACACTTGCTTCAATTTACAACTTCACTAATAAAAACACCGTGAACACAAATTCCCACTGCACAATCGTCAATAATAGATAATACCGGAATTAAGGTTGTGGCGGGTTTTATGGACGATGATAACCTAGCTTTAATAGTAGATTTTATACCTGCAATCATTCAAGAGGTAGAAAATTAATCTTCCATACAAACATTTGGTAGTCCTAGTTGATTACGCTTACCTCTTTCCAACATAACATGATTGACTTTTAGACTTTCGGAATAGAATATCCTAATTGAAGATATTTTACTCCAAAATAAACTTTTCCATTCTTCTTCATCTTCGATTATTTTTTTGTTCTCTTGACGATGAGCATTTAATAAATATGTGATAAATTGCTCGGGGATCTTTGTTAATCCGTCGATAATTCCTTTTAATAGTGATGAAAACGTCGTGCCTAATTGATTGATCACCAGAGCTTAGCATATTCTTAGAGAAAGAAATAAGATTCGTGGGTTGGACTAAAGCCGAGATTTTTTTATTTATTTACCTTCTTCAAATTTGATTGTTATCACACTGGATGTGATTGGACTCAAAGACCAAGTATTA